CCAGAAATTTTTCTGAGGGGCACCGAATTTTTACTCAGGGACACAGGAAATTGGGTTTCTCAGGGACAAAAGAATTGTTTTCTCCAAAGGGGGAGAACACAGAATTGTTACTGAGGGACACAGAATTGTTTTCTGGGACACAGGAAAAAGTTACTGAGGGACACAGAAATTTTTACTCAGGGACACATTTAAATTTTTTACTCAGGGGCAGACACAGAATTTTTCGGGGACACAGAAATTTTTTACTGAGGGTGTTTCTCAGGGACAAGACACCGATTTTTACTCGGGAACAGATTGTATCAGGGCCAACAGTTATGAGTTTGTTTACTCCTTGGAGACAACTGAGGATTGTTACTCGTAGGGGACACAGAAATTGTTACTCAGGACAACAGAATGTTTGTGTGTGTGTGTTCGTTACTCTTGTTCAGTGGACAGCAGATAGCTGTTACCTCAGGGGGGACACGATAACTGTTATCCGGGGGACACAGAATTTTGTTTACTCCTGTCAGGGACAACACCATGAATTGACTTATGACCTGTAGGGAACAAGACAGGAAAGAAGTTTGTTATTCTTAGGGCTACAGACAGAATTGTTACTCCAGTAGGACACAAGACTACATTGTTGACTCATGGGACACAGGAATTGTTACTAAAGGGAATCAGAATACTGTTTTACTTCAGGGAGGACAGACATTGTTATCTCATGGATTACTAGAATTGTATACTGGAGGGTCAGAGGATGTGCTCAGAATTGTCTACTTAGGGATTTGACAGAATGCAGTAATCGTTGGGAGACAGACAAGATATTGTTACTGAAGGGCACACAGCATTAGGGTTAACTTAGGGTGTCCAGCTAAGTGGGTTCCATTACTTAGGGCCACAGCGTGTTGTTTACTAAGGAGACTGACACTAAGAATTGTTAGCCTGGAGAGGCAACAGGAATTGTTACTTTGGGACTCAGAATGTTACTCGCGGGACACTGTCTCCAACGATGGACCTCAGCGGTAACGACAACAGAATTCGTTTTAGATCTTATGGGCTCGACGGTCTTGGTCCTATCCTCTCTCGTTAGTAATTCGGCTCTAGTTTCTGACGATCCTATGTACTCAGGAAAACATGCTAGAAAGGGTGTTGCGCATGAGTAGAGGGCTCAGGTGTTTTTGGGACACTGTGCGAGCATGTGACGTGCAGCATGCAGAAGGGAACGTCGAAATGGGTGTGAGGCATGCACGTAAGTCGCAGCCCAGATGGCCTAGTGCAGGCGCCCCGGTGTCTGTCCAGTGCACGGTTCGTGTTCTCCACGTACACTCCCTTAATCGCCGTCATCGCATTGGGTTGGCTCGGCTCGGTCTGGAGTCATTCTTCCTATCTTTGTACACTAGTGATCACCTTGGTGACACAGTCCTCTACAGCCATACGGGGTCGGTTTGGTACGTCAGAGCACATACCGTTAGTGTTGGCATGGGCCTGTGGTAGCAAGCCCACTGAGAAATCACATGTAGTCCTTCTACTTGCCCGTAGTACTCGTGGCTGATTTGGGAGTTAGTTCCCTCAGCCAAGCCGAAGTATCGCATGATGTGGGCTCAGCCCCAACTGTACAGTGAGGAAAGAGCTAACAGAGGTGCGGTCAGGAAACGGGGGCGGACATCCGCCTCTTCAGCAGCCAGGCGAAAGAGAAGAATGAGTACTGGAGAGGAGGAGTGGCTCGGTAGCCTGGTCTACTTGAGACATGGATCTGTCTCCTGACCCAACGAAAAGCCGAGGGGGCTAGTAGTGTGACGCTTGGGATGCGCACTAATTGATGTTGATGAGGTTGAGTTCGCTCTTGGCAGCAATCGTCGTCTGCATCAGTCTTGAGTATTGCTGTAGTCCGCATGATCATGTCAGGAGAAGAGGGGTGGCCAGCTTGGCATGCATATGGAGCCTCAAAACTAGTCGGTGAGGATGTTCGTGCTCCAGTGAGATGAGGCAGCTAGTAGAAGTCGGTGCCGCAGCGTGTGTTCTGTGTGAGGCAAACGGCCACTGGAGTAGTAGCACCAGCTCCACTGGCAGGACTACCACCACGAACAGAAGGTTGTGGTGCCAGTGTGACACGGAGGGGAGAGTTGCAGTCAGCATGTGAGGAGTAGCGGCGGGCAAATGTTTCACCTACTCGGCGGGTTCGGTTGTGGCAATTTGTTGTCAAGCCGCTACCGAGGAAGTAGCACGTCAGCCGTTTTGTCGGGACTATGAGGGCCCAGAAAGTCAATGCGTGGCCAGGGGGCCCATGTTGGGGACTACTGCGTTGCGTCAGCATATGCGGCGTCGACATTATGGTTGGCCTGGTAGGCTAATTTTGTGATAAAGATTCGGACGAATGCTGCCTGTATTTTCCAAGACGCCCAGCTCCAGTAAACCCGGATTGAGCCGTTAATTTGCACTGTCTGAACCGATGTCAATCGGATCCTCTATCAGTCGGGCTGATAGAGCTTCCAACACGCGTCATGCTGACCAGAGATGTCGCTCGGTTTGGCATCTTCGCTCATTCAGCCATGCCACCTCTCTGCCGTTGTGCCGCGTCAGGTGTCAAGTGCTCCGTCACAGAATGGAGCACTGCGTGGGATTGCCGTTTCCAAGAAGAAAACAGTTTGTATTAGCACGGTAGCCCGACGGTTGCAGCAAGCTGAACGTGTTAGAAGCTCCTGGTACATGCCATTGCTGTTGACCGGCCAGATCCGCAGGATCCATGTGCTCCGAGGGGTGGGAAAGCGTACGCACGCTAGCTACGAGATATGATGGCTTGTGCGCTCTGCGGTCTCAGCAGAGTCCGATCCGGCAGTGTACTTTGCCAAAAAAGTTGCACTGCATGTCACATGTAGACGAGATTGGTGCTCGCCATGGCTCCCAGATGAGCATGTCGGCTCCATCGCCACAGTGCACGGCTCAGTGCCGACGTTTCAGGTCTCCTGTAACTCCCGGTCCCAGGGACAGTACATGTTCATTCCTACGGCCCCCCCCCCCCCCCCCACCCCCCCCCCACTGGCCCATCCCCCCCCCTCCGACCCCAACCCGCCGCGCTGCCGGTCCAAGCAGCACCAGCAACTTGGACAGGTCATGCCGCTTTTGCCTCACATTTGCACGTTCCTTGGTACAGGCCCGTAGTGTCCTGCCATGGGACCAACTGTTACGTTCCGCCGTTCGTGTGTCCTCAGGCCTGCCAGGTCCGAGTGTGTCTCATGGTCCCATGTAAGGCCCGGACCGGCATATCACTTTGCAGGGCGCAACGGTGTCACACGCTGTGCTGCACCTGGTGGATGCCTTGGCGAACGTAGTCACACTGGGGGAGGAAACTTCTGAGTGGTAATGAAAACTGGAGAAATCGACAGATGGCTGTCTCCACGCAAACTGAAAATCTCGGAACCATGTTGAAACCGACAACGGAAAGAACATGGTGTCTGCTCTGCGTCAAGGAAGGTTGTGCCATGCGCCATGCATGGCTCACGTGTTCAATCTGGTTGTCAAGCGGTTCCTAAAATCCACCATCCCACTGCAAGACATCCTTAAAATGTCACGTAAACTTTGCATGCATTTCAGCCATTCCTACACCGCAAAGCACATCCTCCTTGAGCTGCAGCGGCAGAACGGAATTCCACAGCATCGCCTGATCTGCGACGTTGCAACAAGGTGGAATTCAACCCTACACATGTTAGACCGCCTTTACGAACAGCGAAAGGCCATCACACGTGCGATTTCCTGATGTTACAAGCGGATAAAGGTACTCCCCTGTGTAACTTCGATGTCAGCCATTGGCAGCTCATGCGTGACACCTGCCGCTTGCTCAGGCCCTTTGAGGAGGCCACGCTATTCGTGAGTCGGCAGGACTATGGGATGAACGACGTCATTCCTCTGTTGCACGTCCTGGAACAAATGCTGTTAACAATGGCTGGTCAGGGTGCGGTAGACGTGGCGCACAGATCTCAACGCCACATGACCCCTGTCGGGGCAGGACAGGAAGAAGAGGAGGAGGTAGAGGAGGACATTGGTGCTCAGGAATTATTGAGTGAAATGGGTGGTTTTTCCACTCAGCGGACAGGAGTGGAGGGAGCAGGAGCATCTGGTAGAGGAGGAGGAGGAGACAGAGGACCCAGACGCACTGTGGCAGTATGCTGTGGAGATGGAGGCAGGGAGTCCCTCGCATTCCCTTGGCACAAATGGCCCATAGCATGCTCGGTTTGCTTGCGTAGCGACAGCCGAATAATAACCATCAGACAGAGGGATGACTTTTGGCTGTCCACCTTGTTGGGACCTCGCTACCGTTCAAAAAATGGTGGCCTTTTTCAGACCTGCTGAGAGGGAGGCCAAAATAACGTACTATAAAAACCACCTATGTAGTCAGTTGGTCTCTGCCTTTCTGTGCCAACGTCCATCCTCAGACACTGTGGGCCCTGTGCGCTCGCGTTCCGCTGCCATGGCAGCAGGGAGAGGGGTGGGGTGGTAGGAGCAGTGGCAGCTCCACCAGCAGCGGCTGCCTCAGTCTGCAGTCGATGATGAGTAGCTTTCTTCACCAGCGCAGTGAGGAAACTACTAACCAGCCGCAGCAGCATCAGATGGACCTGGAGCAGGACCTCAAACAACAGGCTTGGGCCTACTTGGACAGCACCCTGCCAACCGAGGTAGACAATCCCCTTGACTACTGGGCAACGAAAACTTGACCTTTGGCCCCAACTAGCTGAATTTGCCCTTGAAAGGCTGTCATGCCCGGCCAGTAGCGTGGCATCGGAGCGCGTGTTTAGTGCGGCAGGAGGTATTGTAACTCCGCGGAGGACACGACTGTCCACCCAAAGTGTGGAGAGACTGACGTTTGTGAAAATGAATCAGGCGTGGATTAGTCTGGATTTCAAACCACCAGTTCCTGACACAACTGACTAAATCCGCCATGAATCATGCCCCAAACATATTATTTTTAACATAGGCCTCTGTATGGCCTTCAATTTAAGCTGCTTACGCTTCGCCACTCTGCCATGGGCCCCTGTACCGCCTCCTCTTGCTGCTGCCAGGTCCAGAGTGTGTCATGGGTCCCTGTACGGCCTCCCATTGCTGCTGACTTCATCGCCAGACTCTGCCATGTGCCACTTTCAGGTCTCCTTACACTGTTGGTGGGTTCCATTTTGTCATAGGGTGCTGACAGATTACGGGCCTCCCATTGCTGCTGCCAGGCCCGTAATCTGCCATGGGCCCCCGTTACCGCCTCCTCATGCTGCTGCCAGGTCCAGAGTGTCTCATGGGTCCCTGTACGGCTCCCATTGCTGCTGTCTCCATCGCCACACTCTGCCATGTGCCACTTTCAGGTCTCCTCCACACTGCTGGTGGGTTCCATTTTGTCATAGGGTGCTGGCAGATTACGGGCCTCCCATTGCTGCTGCCAGGCCCGTAATCTGCCATGGGCCCCCGTACCGCCTCCTCATGCTGCTGCCAGGTCCAGAGTGTCTCATGGGTCCCTGTACAGCCTCCCATTGCTGCTGTCTCCATCGCCACACTCTGCCATGTGCCACTTTCAGGTCTCCTCACACTGCTGGTGGGTTCCATTTTGTCATAGGGTGCTGGCAGATTACGGGCCTCCCATTGCTGCTGCCAGGCCCGTAATCTGCCATGGGCCCCGTACCCGCCTCCTCATGCTGCTGCCAGGTCCAGAGTGTCTCATGGGTCCCTGTACGGCCTCCCATATCTGCTGTCTCCATCGCCACACTCTGCCATGTGCCACTTTCAGGTCTCCTCACACTGCTGGTAGGTTCCATTTTGTCATAGGGTGCTGTATGGCCTCCCATTGCTGCTGCCTCCACCGCCACACTGTGGCTCCACACTCTGGTTTTGGCCCCGTGACTGCCCAAATGAGTGAAGTGTGCGGTGATTCTAAGATCGACGGCACTCATCTGCATGTCATACTGACTGACAGTATTATTTCTCTTCCCCAGCAGACTCCAAGGGCATTTAAATTAAAGGTACAGTGTTCTGCACTAATATAAAGGCTCTCTGAAGCCTAGAAACACCCTTTTTATAAGTTAAATTCGCAGCGAATATATTCGCATCGAATCGAATTTATTCCTCGAATTCGCCGAATCAGCCGAATCGAATTTTTGAATACTTCGCTCATCTCTAGTCATATGTTCATGCTCTTCTCCTGGCATTTTTTACTACACTCTCATTTATATTTATTGCTCTTCACTGGCTTCAGACTCCCAAAGCCAGCAAAACACAATGCACATTTGTAAAACACGTCACTGATTTTTTTTACATTTACAAAGTCCCAAATGTACAAATGTCCCCCTAAGCTTACATGTTTACCTTTCTCATCTGTACTATACAAGCTATCGCTTTAATACCATTCCTTAACCACTTAAGGACTGCTTGTCCGCAAAGTACTGCAGAAGTGCGAACCATACGTTGCTGGCCTCTTCACGGTATGCATGCCCATGCCCGCCGACTCCTGCTGTGATTAGACACAGAGGAATTTTGGCAGCAGGTCCCAGCCAATGATTCATGGCCAGGACTTGCTGATTGGCTGTGTCCAATCACAGCCGAGAGCCTTGCGTTGACAATCAACACAGTGGTTCTGTAGTGAGGGAACAATCTCTTTGTTTTCTTTCCCTGCTTTGCGTATTGGTCAGTTAGACAAATGCAACACAAATGCACCTCCCCACTGAAATGAATGGAAACCGCATCAAAAACGTATCTAAACCGCATCAAAAACACAATGCACCGGTGGGAAGTGCTTTGTCCACTGGGGAAAAACGCAACACAGTGCAACATAAATTCATCACAAATGCAACGCACTACAGAATTAATGCATATGGATTTGTGAATGCATACCAATCAGTATACACTAATTGGGATTTTTTTTTACCAAAGACATGTAGCAGAAGAAATTGGCCGAAAGTTATGAAGAAATTAGATTTTGTTTACAGGTTTTATAGCAGAAAGTTAAAAAATAGTTTTTTTTTTCAAAATTTTTAGGTATTTTTTTCGTTTATATAATAAAAAATAAAAAAACCCAGTGGTGATCAAAGACTACCAAAAGAAAGCTTTATTTGTTTGAAAAAAATGGTATACAATTAATTTGGGTACAGAGTTGCATAACTGTGCAGTTACCAATTAAAGTAGTAAAGTGCTAAATAGCAAAAAGTGGCCTGGTCATAAAGGGAGTAAAACCTTCCGGAGCTGAAGTGGTTAAAAGATGAAATTGTCCCTACTTATTGCAACTCTGTCACTAAAGTTTGTGAAATGAAGTCCTCTCCACCAAGATGATAGTTCATACTCACCTCTTGTGATGTCTTTGGTGCCTATCTCTGTTGTAATGAGTAAAAACCTGCAGTCCAAAGAATCATCAGAATTAGAGATGAGCGAAGTATTCAAAAATTCAATTCGACTGATTCGGCGAATTCGTGGAAAAATTTTGATTCGAGTCGAATAAATTCGCTGTGAATTTAACTTAAAAAAGGGTGTTTCTAGGCTTCAGAGAGACTTAATATTAGTGCAGAACACTGTACCTTTAATTTAAATGCCCTTGGAGTCTGCTGGGGAAGAGAAATAATACTGTCAGTCAGTATGACATGCAGATGAGTGCCGTCGATCTTAGAATCACCGCACACTTCACTCATTTGGGCAGTCACGGGGCCAAAACCAGAGTGTGGAGCCACAGTGTGGCGGTGGAGGCAGCAGCAATGGGAGGCCATACAGCACCCTATGACAAAAATGGAAACCACCAGCAGTGTGAGGAGACCTGAAAGTGGCACATGGCAGAGTGTGGCGATAGAGACAGCAGCAATGGGAGGCCGTACAGGGACCCATGACACACTCTGGACCTGGCAGCAGCATGAGGAGGCGGTACAGGGGCCCATGACAGATTACGGGCCTGGCAGCAGCATGAGGAGTCGGTACGGGGGCCCATGGCAGATTACGGGCCTGGCAGCAGCAATGGGAGGCCGTACAGGGACCCATGACACACTCTGGACCTGGCAGCAGCATGGGGAGGCGGTACAGGGGCCCATGACAGATTACGGGCCTGGCAGCAGCATGAGGAGTCGGTACGGGGGCCCATGACACACTCTGGACCTGGCAGCAGCATGAGGAGGCGGTACAGGGGCGCATGACAGATTACGAGCCTGGCAGCAGCAACTTGGACAGGAGGACGTTCAGCTTCTGCACCGTCGGGTTCGTGCTCGCAAACTGTTGTCTCTTGGAAACGGATTCCAAGAAAGACTGCTGACGGAATCCGTGAAGAGGAGTAGCAGGAGAAGGAGCATCTGAACGAGCGGAATATGCCAACAAGCGACAACAGGGGCCCATGACAGATTACGGGCCTGGCAGCAGCATGAGGAGTCGGTACGGGGGCCCATGGCAGATTAGGGGCCACCCACCAGCAGTGTGAGGAGACCTGAAAGTGGCACATGGCAGAGTGTGGCGATGGAGACAGCAGCAATGGGAGGCCGTACAGGGACCCATGAGAGACTCTGGACCCCGGCAGCGCTGAGGAGGGT